CTGAATCCCCAGAGGCACGTAGTAGGTATCTTGTAATTATTCACAAAAGCAAACATATCACATGGGCAGCTCCACACTCTGGGTTCAACCTCTGCTAAACTAGACCTGTCTTTCTACCCTCCACATTGTGATTGTCTGGTGCATGGCAAACACCCCTCAGCTAAGACCTGATTAGAAGCCATAGCCCTCAAGGAAGTGGAGTGGCACCTGGGACTGCAAAGTCCTTCCAATACTGGACAGAGTTCTAGCCCACAGCCACATCTCTTGTGACAGGCCCTCATGGCTGCTGAGCCTGCTAGAAAGGGAAAGTATCTTTATTCCCAATTAATTACTTGTTTCTGGGTCCAACTCAGCTCCAAGAGAACTGAGCTGGACTCTATTTTTGCATTGTGCATAGTAAAATTCTCGCCACCCAATTTCTAATATTGATGATGATGCCAGAAGCAGAAAAACAGCTGGAATATCTGTGTCCAAAAGCAGCTCACAGTGCTAGCATTTTGGAGGGGAAAAGAACCCCCAGGTTGTGCACAGAACAAACGTGATGTGGCCACCACTGGAAATAAAACAGAAGAGAACACCCGTAAGTTTAAGTCGTGGCCTCCAAGATGACATGTGCAGCTTGGAAAGCCATCAGTTTCTCATCCGTAGGAGAGAAAGAGCAAGTGAATATTGTAAAGTGGGTATGGGTGTAGGGAGTATTAGGAACCACCAAGCTGACCTATAGGGAGATGACGGAAAACACACTTTCCATCTTGCTAGTAACACTGCCATCTACTGAAACTCTCCACTCCGTTTCCTGCACCAAAATCTGCAGAGGCCCGCAGTCAGTTTTGTTTCCACATTTTCTTGTGTGGTCTCATTTCTCATTTGATTTACTATTCTATCTGTTGTTGTGAGGTTTCCCTCACTCCCTTTCATAAATTAATTACTGTAATTATCCCACTTTAATAGCTGCTGATTTGGCAACTACAGAAAATACTGGAGAAAATGCACTACTACATTTCATTTGCATATCTGAGAGACAGCAAGGGAGAATTAGACTTTTCCTAAATTACTTATTGTGACCTGAATAGAGAAAAAGTAACTCGTTCCAAATGGAATTTTCATTAGCATACTTCATTTGTCCAATTACCATCACAGGATGAGCAAAGAGCCGAGGTTCTTCCTTACACGGTGATATGATGACTCAGGGAGTTCATCTAAAACCGAGGCTCATCCACAGGCAGCAGGAAAGGCCACTGTCCACTCTGTCACTTCATCAGACATCGCTGCAGTGGATTTTTGCAGAATGCATCCATCAGCAACTGTCCATCCAGACCACTGGCTGTGTCTTTCCAATTCCAAGTACGATGCATTGTATGAAATACAGCTAAGGAAGACCGATGCCCTCACAGTAAGGCCACTGTCCCTAGGAAGGTGTGCCATGCCCAGAATGCATGACCCCGCATTCTGTGAGAGCTGCAAAGATCAGAGACCCATTCATCCAACAGGTCTTAAGCTTGGGCCAGAGGTGTTTCAGATCTTCCCATCACCATCACCACAATCTTAGGAAGTCAAACCATTTTCCTGAGCCCCAAGTACCTGCAGAATGGGGAGCATCTCATGGACTTCAAAAGGTTGCTGTGGAGATTGGAGAAACAGCATTCCTCGCACAGAGGTGCTCCCTAATGTGTAATAGTCTCCATGTTGCCCCAGGTAGGTCCTGGCTTAAATACCAAGGTAAAGAATGTAAGATCCCAGAATCTAGGTAATTCACGGTCTCCAAATAGGACTTGGAGGCCAAATGTTTTTACCCATCTGTTAGATGAGTAAGGTAATTACAGTAACTGATCTTTAAAGATGTTTTCCCACAGGCCTCTCTCACCTACACACACCTGCTACCCCTCACAGTAGAAAGGTCTTATGTCCCCTCCCACTGAGTCTAAGCTGAGTCCCTTAACTTTGACCAACGCTGGCTTTTCCTAGGCCTAAGCCCTCAGCAGGCCTGGCAGTTCCTGCTTTTGTGCATGTCGGGGCCAGAAGCTGCCGTGTGCCCTGCTGAAGAGTCCGCGTAGAGGGACACGGGCAGAGGCCAGATGGAAAGGGTTATGTGGAGGAGACCTCAGGATCCCACTGACAGCTTGAACCAAGGCCCCAGATATACCACTCACCTAAGCCAGCTTAGGAGGCCCTGGCCAGGGAGCCAACCTTGCTGAGGTGCCACCTCTGTGGCTAAAGGGGTTATGCTGGGAGGCCCAATCCCGCCAGCATCACGTGGAGGAGACAGGCCACGCCTGCTGTGCCCCTCTGAATTCTTGACCCACAGAGCCATGAGAAATGACATGGATACTGTTAACTTTCTATCCCAGTTTATCCCAGCCTACCCCTTTCCCAGATCTCACTGTTACATGTGTCTCTGCCATTGGCTTCACAGCACTTTACCATCACTCTCCAGCAGAGGGACAGGAGCTGGAACAAGAAGTCCAGTCCCCAAGAAAGGGACACAGAGACATGAAACCAGGTGACCCGGCCTTTTCTTAACTCCTGTGCCGAACATTACAGATTTCCTTTCCCGGAAACAGGTGCTGTCCCAGAGCTTCTGCCCTGCCAATCCACTTTTCTCACTGATCTCAGAGGACTTGCAATATTTTTGTGAGGTCACTGTCATTTTTAGGCTGTGACTAATAATGCAAACTAGTAGTCATTTCTCCCTCAAACGCGTTGCCTCCTTCTGAACTCCTGGACAAAGCAAAGCTGGACCGCTCGTTGCTTCCTGGGAGTGCCAGGCACTGCTGTTGATGAACAGAAACCACTTCTATATATAGGGAAGACCAGGAGGCCTGCCCCAAGGTGAGACCACATTCTACCAGGTCCATAACTGGTCATCCTTGAGAGTCACGTGCATTGTCTGAACCCATGTTTCCCCATTGGTTAAAGTGCAAGCAATGATGCCCTTGAAAAAACTGCAACACACCGGGCACGGTGATTCACGCCTGTGATCCCAACACTTTGGGAGGCCGAGGCAGGCTGATCACAAGGTCAGGAGTTCTAGATCAGCCGGCACAATATGGTGAAACCCTGTCTCTACTAAAAATACAAATAAGTTAGTCAGGTGTGGTAACACATGCCTGTAATCCCAGCTACTTGGGAGGCTGAGGCAGGAGAATTGCTTGAACCCGGGAAGCAGAAGTTGCAGTGAACCGAGGTCGTGCCACTGCACTCCAGCCTGGCGACAGAGCAAGACCTCTCTCAAAAAAACAAACAAAACAAAACAAACACAAAAATTGCAAGAAGATTAAATAAGCCAAGAAAGGGCCAAGCATCAGCCTGGGACAGAGTAGCTGCTTAAGCCAGTGAATCCCCTTTCCTCTGCTGCTGATAATCCTGAAGTGGTGCACTTCCCAGGTCTTCCTCAACTCTGCCCTGCTCCTTCTTGGAACTTCTAAGGTGTTTATTCTAAGGTATGTACTCTTTATCTTGAGAGTGCGGATTCCAACTTTGTCTTGTTCTGCTGGTCCATGCCCTCCCCCACACCAGTTTGCCTCTCCACAATGGGGCTGTTAGTTCTGCCAGGATAGACACTTGAGAGTCGCCTTGACTCTTTGTCTTCCCATTACCTCTAGCCTCCTCTTCTCGGAAGCCTGTGATTCTGCCTCATAACACATCTCCTGATTCTTCTCTTCACACCTTCCCACAGACACCACCTTAATCCAGCTATTGCCACACATCACCTGGACTGCAGGCAGAGCCTCCCTCCCCTCAACCCTCCTTTCCTGTCCCTTCTCCACCAAGCAGCCAAAGCAACATTTTTAATACAAAATCTGATTGTGTCACCCTCCACTCATGTGAGAGGGGCTTCTTGTTATCACGTACATTGGCAAGGCTCCCAGAAGTCTGCATGCCCCATTGTCCCCATCATCACCTGACCAGAGAGCCCTCGGTCTTGGCTCTCCCAATTTGCTCCTGCCCTAGCCACCAGCAGCAGGTCCCTTCCCACCCAGTTCATACTAGTTACTCACCCTTCAAGGCTCTGCTTACATGTCACCATCTAGAGATGCCTTCCCTGACCTCCACCCATTTTTTTTTTTTGGTAGTGGGGAGGGGAGACAGAGTTTTACTCTGTGACCCAGGCTGGAGTGCAATGGCGCAATCTTGGCTCTCTGCAACCTCTGCCTCCGGGGTTCAAGCAATTCTCCTGCCTCAGCCTCCCAAGTAGCTGGGACTACAGGTGCGTGCCACCACATCTGGCTAATTTTTGCATTTTTAGTAGAGGTGGGGTTTCACTGTGTTAGCCAGGATGGTCTCGATCTCCTGACCTCATGATTTGCCCACCTCAGCCTCCCAAAGTGCTGGGATTACAAGTGTGAGCTTCCCGACCAGCCCCACCCCTTTACCTAAATTAAATTAATAAGGTCTGTCCCCACCTCCATTCCCATTCTTCTCCCTCAGCACCCTGTTTTTTCCCTATACTATTACTTGTTGCAATTTGTAATCATATTTTCATTTGTGAGCTCAACTATTTAGTCTGTCTGTGCTGTCACTACCTCCTCATCCCCATCATAGAGGCAGACTCTGTGGACAGTGTCTATGCTCATCTTACTAGCTGTACATGAGTTGCACAGAGCACAGGGCCAGGATCTCAGCCAGCATCCAGGAGAGTGATGAACACACCAGGGAGCAAAGTCCTTCCCACCAACGCCCGGTGCTGAGCTTAGCCCCTGGGACTTGCTTCATGATGGTTCAATTATTTTCAGTTGTTTTTGGTTTGGCTGTTGTTCTTAGAAGGTCACTTTGTCAACAAAAGTGATCTGTTTCGGGTAACCTTACAAGGGTGGGCTTACAACTCAATCAAGGGTCCAGGACACCCCAGTACTTTCCCACTATAGGTGTTTCCCATGGGGAGCTCTGCTAACGCAGGGCACTGAGGACACAGGCAAAAGGAAATAGATGTCTTGGGGCAGAGGCATTTAAGAGATCAGTCATGTGAAAATGACAAAACACGCGTATTCAACACCAGGTACCTGTGGGTGATCTTCGTGGTACAACCGAGGCAGCAGCCTCACCATGATGCACACGACCCCAGGATGCATGATCGCAGCATCACCCTCCTCCATCCTGCAGAGAGAGGGAGAGCCAGACATCAGACATGGGCTTCCAGTTTCTTTCTCTTTTCATTGAGCTCCCTGGATCTTTCTTTCTAAGATAGACCATGGTACACATCCTGTCTACCGCTTACTACCTAGATGACGTTGAACTACTCCATCAAGCCTAATTTCCCCCAACTGTACAATGACTTTGACAATACCACACTTTCCCTTCCAGTCATAGAATAATGCTTTGTGCTCTAAGGCACAGTGCCTGACCCATAATTGATGCTCAGTGAAGTTAGTTCCCTGGTTTTCTTCCCTTCCCTCCAGATATGTGGGAGATTGAGAAGCTCTGATTTCACATTGAATACACACACACACGCACACACACACACACACACACACACACGGGCTTCTGGGTCCTTTCAAGATGGTGTAAGCACACGCGGCTGTGTCCCACCCCCTGAATACTGAATGCAACTAAAAATCATAGAACTCATAGAGCAGCTCTCTTGGAGGACTCTGGAAAGCAAATGGTAGCAGAGAAGGAGACCAAGCTCAAGCATCATGAACTGGCAATGAGTTTCCTGGGCTTCCCCTCTGCAGCATCCCCTGGTGTGAACTCATAGATAGCCGAAAACTCACAACTGTGCACCAGGTATAGACATAATGGAAAGAGCTCCAAAAGAAGTCTTCCATTTGTGGTCTGAGGAGCAGGAGGAGGTTCTACAGGTCACAGAGCACAGAGGAAATCCCCTGGGATTTTCTTTGTTTGGTTTCTCCATTCTTTCCCAACCCTTCTTTCAGGCAATTTCCTCACCAGCAGCACCAGCAGCAGCAGCAGCCAGGCAGGCTCTAAAACTCTCAGTGAAAAGAAACTTTTTCTCTGACCAGAGGAATTGTAGTCCCAAGAGTGTAGGTGAAATCCCCATTGCTGTTTTCTCCCTTTCTCTCCTTACTGGGTGGCCCCACAGACAGATACCAGTGATCCAGGGAAGAACAGAAAAACCAAAGCCCCAACTTTCTAGACAGAGCAGGGAAGGACCCCTGCAAGTATTAAGAAGAGGATGAAGAAGAGAAAGCTGAGGAAGGTGTAACCACAAAGTTGTGTATTAACCTCTGGGCTCAGTTCTGACTGGGCATGTGCATCTGGTCCTAACTCGGAGGTAAACCACCATGCAAAAACAGCTACTGCATGAGGCAAGTGGGTGCGCATCAAATCTCCCTGCAAAGTATTTGAAAACTGAACTGATACTGGAACTAGATAGTCCAGGGAAGGTGGGCAGAAATTTGCAACCTGCACCTAAAGGGGCTAGTTCCCTGCCTTAAAAAAAAAAAACATCAACATTCTCTACAGGATGACAACAAGGACCAGAGTTCATAAGATAAGATTCAAAATGTCCAGAATACAATCTGAAATTGCTCAACACAGAATGAACCAGAGAAGTCTCAATATCTCACATGGAAAAAGACAACTGACAGATGCAATGCTGAGATGTCACAGACATTGGAACTATGAGACAAAACCCATAAAGCAGTTATTAACCCAAATCCAAGAAGTAAGAGGGAACATTTTTCAAGTAAATGACAAATAGAAAGTTTCAGTAAAGAAATGAAAGCAATAAAAATGAATCAAACACAACAACTGAAATTTTCTAAAACTCACTGAATGAGAACAATAGGAGAATGAGATGAGAGGAGAGTCCCTGAGTGTGAAGACGGAGCAATAGAAGTTGCCTAATCTGAACAACAAAAATGAAAAAGATTACTAAAATTAAAAACAGACTCAAGGTCATGTATAACAAAGGATCTAACATTTTTGTCATTAGACTCCTCGAAGGAGAGAAGAAAGAGAATGGTATAAAAGAAAAAGTGTTTGAGAAGTTTTTAGTGCTTCTTTCTTCAAAGTGGGTAAAATATATAACCTTGAAGATTCAAGAAGCTTAGCAAAACCTAAATAAAATAAACAAAAAAAAATTATGCACAGACACAGCATAATCGAATTGCTGAGCCCTAAAGACAATTTTAAAAATCTTGAAAGCAGCCAGAAAAAAAAACACATTACATTTAGGGGAACAACAATTTGAATGACTGTGGATTTTCTCATAAGGAAACAGAAGTCAGGAAAACCCAAACAACATTTTTAAAGTGCTACAGAAGTACACACAGAATTCCATATCCATTTGCTTCAGGAATGAAGGCAAAATAAATGCATTCCCAGATGAAGGAAGACAGATTCTTGGCATAAGACTTGTTCTAAGAATAATAGTTTAAAAATTTATTCTGATGGTAGGAAAATAATAATAAAATAATGAAAGAAAACTTCAGGAATGAAGAAAGAGCAACAGAAATGGTAAATATTTGGATAAATATAATACACTATTATTGTTCTCCTCTTAAGTTCTTGAATTTAGGTATGATGGTTGAAAGTGACGTTGTATTAGATGCAATACATAAGACAGTCACAACAAAAATAAGGAAGGGTAAAGGAAACTGCATAGAGGTAAGCTTTCTATAATCCATTTGAAGTAGTAAAATGTTAATTTTAAGTAGACTGTTAAAAGTTAAGTTTTAAGTTAAGTTAAAAATTGATAGACACATATTGTCAGAATGAAAAGAAATAAAAATGAAGCTATATGCCATCATTAAATATTGTGATAGATTAAAAGATAGAAAAATTTATACCATCCTAACACTAATCAAAAGAAACCTGATATGACTCTATTCATATCAGGGAAAACAGACTTCAAAGCAAAGAAAATGACTGAGAATATAAACAGATTATATGACTTGATGATTAAAGGAGGTGTAACAATTCCAAATGTGTTTACACTTTACAACGGAGCGTCACAATTCATAAAGAAAAACTCACAGATCTGAAAGGACAAATGACCAAATCCACAATTATAGTTGGAGAGTTCAACACTCTTCTCTCAGTAATTGATAAAGTAAACAGAAAATCCCCAAACATATACAACTGAACAGCACTATCAACCAACTGACATAATTGACATTTATAACACATTCCTCCCAACAACTACAGAATATATATTCTTCTGAAATATTTCCCAAGGAACATTTGTCAAAATAGGCTATACAACAAACTTGGATCATGAAACAAACTTTAAAACATTTCAAATGGGTAAAGTCATACAAAGTATATTCTCTGGCCATACAGAATTAAATTAAAGATAAATAATAGAAAGATAACTTTAAAATCACCAAGTGCTTGGGAATTAAAATAATTTATGGGCCAAAGATAAAGTTTTAAGAAAAATTTTAAAATATTTTGGCCTTAAGTTTTAAAGAATGTGTAGAAATATGTGTAGAATGCTGCCATAGCAGTGCTTAGAAGGATATTTATAGAATTAAATGCTTACATTACAAAAGAAAAAAGGTCTCAAATCAACAATCTATTTAAAAAGAGAAAAATAAACCCAAAGTGAGCAAATGAAATACAATAATAAAGAAAGAAAAATCAATGAAATTAAAAACCAAAAAATAATAGAGAAAATAACAAGTAAAAAATCTGGTTCTTTGAAAACATTTTAAAAATTGAAAAGTCGCCAGCTAACCTAACAAAGAAAATGGAAGAAGACACAGATCATCAATATCAGGAATGAAAGAGTACTGCTACAGACCCCACAGATATTGAAAGGATAATAAGAAAATACTGCAAATAACTCTGTACACATACAGTTGACAACTTCGATTAAATGGCCAAATTCACAATTATAGTTGGAGTCTTCAACACTCTCCTCTCAGTAATTGTTCCTTCAAAGTCACAAACCACTTTCAAATAGTTTTCTTTAAACCCACAAACTCCCAAACTCATCAAGAAGAAATGAGTTACCTAAATCATTTATAGCTATTACAAAAACTGAATATGTAGCTAAAAACCTCCCACAAAGAAAACTTCAGGCACAGAGTTTTCAGTGGCAAATTCTACCACACATTAAAAGAGAAATAATACAAGCTCTATGCAACTACTTTCAAGAAATACAAGAGAATGGAACACTTCCCAATTCACTTTATGAAGCCAGAATTACCCTGATATTGAAAGCAGAAAAACACAGTATAAAAAAAACTACATGTCAGTAGCCCTAACGAAGACAGGTGCAAAAATTCTCAGCAAATAATATCTAGCTATATATAAAATAATGAGGGCACTGTGGCCAATTGGACAAATGCAAGGCAGGTTCAATATTCAAATTCAATATTCAAAAATCAGTCAACATGATCCATATTAATAAAATCACATAGTAGTATCATTTAATGCATGAAAAGCATTTGAAAGATTCAAAATCTGCTCATGACCAAAAAAAAAAAAAAACTCAGTAAATTCAAAGGGATTGTTTATAACCTAATAATGGGCATCTACAAAAATCCCATAGTTGATGTTATACTCAGTGGCAAAGACTGAAGACTTTCTGCCTAAGATTAAGAACAAGGCAAGGGTCTCTCCAGTGCTACTGGACATAATACTGGAACATATGGATTGGAAAGGAAGATCAAAAACTTGCACTAGTCACAGATGACATGATTGTCTTCATAGACAATCCCAAGGAATCCATAAAAAAAGAAAACTTCTAGAACAAATAATTGAATTTAACAAAGTCTCAGAATAGTTGACATACAAAAGTTAATTATGTTCCTAAACACTAGAAGTGAAAAATTAGAAACCAAAAAAGTTTAAATACAATTTGGAAGTGTGTTCAACAAAAGACTCGGGTATAAATCTAAAAAAACATGTGCATGCTCTACACTAAATACAACAGACTTTGATGAAAACAATTAAAGACCTAAATAAACAGAAAAGCACACTATGCTTGTGTTTGAAGATTTAATATAGTTAAATTGTCAATTTTCTCCAAATTGATCTGTAAATTTAATGCAATTCCAATAAAAATCCCAGCAGAAACTTTTGCAGATATAGGCAAGCTGATCATTAGCATTTATATGGTAAAAGGACAACCACAAATAAGGGAGCTGAAATCAACAAAGCAAATTTGAGAAGAAAGAGCAACT